TTACAACAGGAGGCATGGATCGAAGAATTTGTCTGCGCTGGAGGTCGGCGATCCCATATGGGTGATCGATTTAAGAGTTTACGGCACAGTGGTGGAGATAGGGTCTCTCCCAAACTCTTACTGGATAGAAACATCGAAAAGCGTGATCCGTCGAAACAGGTGGCATCTCATCCCAGCACCATACCGCCAAACACAAAGCACGCATAGCGACGTCGACGAACCTGTGTTTGTACCAAGCCACGAGGAAGCGGGAGACGTCGACGAAGCGGTCCTAAACTGCGATGGGTCACCCGAACCCGAAGAGAACATCGCGGAGAACCAGCGGGACGATAGACAGGAATCAGCCGGCAATCAGAGACCGACAAGAGAGCGGAAACCACCCGTGCGCATGAAAGATTACGTTCCGCAGTGAACATTGTCTCCGCGACAACCGGGCGCGTCTCGCCCACAGTTTTGTAAACCAAAGGATGTACGTTTTCAGTTTGTTTAAATAAAAAGGAGAGGATGTTGTGGTAGCATGCGCGAGCGACATCTGGTTATGGTGTGCGCCGTTTGAGTGGGACAATGCGTTAGGCAGTTGGGCCTGGTCGTCGCTCGAGTATGCACATGCATCCATATATGCGTACCAGTAATATTGAATAGCCTACTAACATTCCTGCTCCCGTAGCTTAACATAACACGTACTTGTAGCTAAAAGAATGCTCTTTCACGCTATATAAGCCTTAGTGCATCAAATGTTTGTTTACATAAAAATATAGTCCATATAAGTTACATCAAAATATGCGTTTCCTGAGGTGGGCATTTTTCTTCTACTTCAACGCTCTCTTACAACATTCCAAGTGACTGACAGCAACTTATTATTTTTTTTATGTAGTTATTTAGACAGGACATTTAAGAATCAGTATCCTGAATCTCATTAGTTTCTATAAATGTTGAAAATTTCAATAAAGTCCGCGTTTTGACGGTTTCGGACCACTGTGCAACGTCTCCCTTTCCCTGATTGGCCAGTTCATTCCATCCGTCAAAGAATCGTGCTAGGACGAGTGTCAGACAAGTGACGTAGTTTAACAACTTCTCGTTTTTACAGGAACAGCTTTCATCGATCCAGGTTCCCTCACTGGCCAGAGCGACCATCGACAGAATAAATAAATCAATCCGACTCGGAGGTTCAATCGTTAACCTGTATAAAAATTACACAATCAATTCAAGCATCAGGCAGAATAAATAAATATATATATATTAAAAAAAATTACATTACGAGAGAGTTATTACCTGTCACAACTACAAAAAACCCCTTTCAAATCTCACGAGTTCATCTAGACCTTCTCTTATCTTTTATTTATACAAGCATACCTTCCTCTCTTTTTACGATAATTAAATTCAATTGTCATATCATTCCATCCCATTAAATCTATCCTCTCTTTTGACGAATCGAAACTTTTTCAGAACCTTCCAATCGTACCAAATTCCTACCTCTCCCTGCAAAGAACCAGTTCTGTTTCAATTGTTATACAAATTTCAGTCTCGCTCGTACGATCCCGGACTCGTCGAACCGCACCGCTTGGAAGGAAAAGGACAACGATGCGGCTTCGACTTTCCAGTTTCCCTCTTCGCGCGACTCTACCCTCCGCGAGACAGACAGGTGAGCAATAACAATAATAGTAGTAGTGGTATTGATTACGAAAATAGGGAGAGACCAGACCGACGAGTCGAGCCAGTCTCTCGAGGAATCGGTGACTCTATTCTACGACAGATGGTTAAGGACAGTGTTTTCCTGTTTCCAGGACAGAACGACGCGAACTAGGACAGACAGAGAGAGAGAGAACTAATACGAGATCGCGACCCCTTCGGAAGAAATAAGGGCCCCGCAATGGATCCGACGGCCGGAACTGCGACGAGTAGCCCGCCTGACGCTAAGGCTCCAAGTCTACATCCCGGTTTCTACACCCCGGACGTCTCGCCGGGTGACCCTGACTTCCGCGAGTCCGCCCCGGCCGTTGATTTCGGTCGGAGACGTCCAAGCGTCCATTCAGGGGATTTTTACAACCCCGCTCGCTCGTCGTTGGCGCCGCCGACCCACCCCGAGGCCTTGGAACCGGTGGGCAGCCTGGGAAGGACGACCAGGAGAAAGAGACAGGATCGGCTAAGGTTTTCATTGATCCCCTTCGAATCGACCTCCCGCGCGAACGCCTGTTCCCGTCCTAAGAAGCGATGCCACGACCGCGAGACCGAGAACGGAACTTCGACGAGTCCACGGACGTTTCCGTGTCCAAGTCTACATCCCGTCGAACGGCCCGACGCTCCCGCGAGTCGCGAGAAGCGCCAAGACGACGGCCCGCGAACGAGACACCGCCGGACAGTCGCGACAGCGGGAATGGTCCACGGCGGACGTTCCCGCGTACCTGTGGGTTACATTAAAATCATCTTTTGTGCATTTCAGGACCGACCAGGAGCCGACCCAGTCCCGTTGACTACTCACCGCGACAGCGTTCAGGTGGCTTTCTTTCAAGGACACGATAGGTTCACAGGCCGACCGGGAGCCGACCTCGTCCCGTTGACTACTCTCCGCGACGGCGTTCATAGGGTCGTACCAGGTGAGCTCTCTCGGTCGCTCGTACCAAACAAAAAGAGAAGACAGATCGAGTGATTAATTAATTGATTTTTAAAACGATTACAGCCAAGAACACGCCCGCGTTCCACCAATTCCGGATCATACCTGCTCATACGCGACCAGACAACGACGACGAAAAAGAAGGAAGACCGTCAACAGTCAAAAGATCAATCCGCCGGACCGTAGACCAACTCGTATGCGACGGCGTTCGGTTGGCGTTCTTCTAGGGATACAATAAGAAATTCGCAGACCGACCAGGAGCCGACCTCATCCCGTTGACCACTCTCCGCAACGGCGTTCATGGGTTTATGCTGGGATGTGATCGATAGCTGTCAAGAATAAAAAGAGTTTAAATCAAAAGTATAACGAACGAATGATCGAGCGAATAAACATATGAACGTCCCGTCCACTCCGAGCTTTATTACCAAATTCATTGTCAACGTCGGAATCGACTCGTCCACGAAAAGCGAGAAGAAACGGAAAGTCACAGAAGAGAAAGGGTCCAACTGGTAAATCGGTCAAAAATAATAAACAAATATATCATAAAATCCAATTTATTATATGCCACACATTGCATTATTTACAGTGTATAAGCATGTCCTCGGAAATAGCAGAGAATCGGTCAGTCGGATAAGAAGAAAATTAACAAGCAAAGAAAACAATCAAATGACAGTTTCGTACTCGGTAATTTACCATCCCACGCATTCTCAACTACCGTTAACATTTGTATCAATTCGCGTACCGAAGATCCCGTTGAATAAAGAGTCTACAGTCGTTCAAGAAGGATTTTTATTTATTCATTTCTCGCCCCACATCGTATACATCTCTTACACATTGTCTATCCGTGATACCTCTCGTCGTTACCTTCCTCGCCCGGCATTACCTCTCCGTTTTTTAATCAATTTCAAGAAAAAGAATCGAACGCCTCATCTTTAATATACAAAGAATTATTATTAAGAAATAATGTTCACACACCAACTCGACGAATTCAATCGCATTGACAAAGGCCTGTAGAAAAGAACCGGCAACCCCGATTCTCATTTTCCTTTTAACATGAAAAGAAAAATATAACATAAATCCTTACTTAAAATAATGTCAAGATAACTTAATTATCCTGAGTATTCCTCAATGTTCAAACAACAATGGATTTTACTACCGAGACATCTGTTGTAATGTGAATTGGGCTAGGGGAAGAAAGGCAGATGGCGTGACGAGAGAAGGAGAAATGGTTGGCGAGAGCTATGTGAGAGAGGACGGCATTTAACGAGAAATTAATAAAAACCAAATCTGAAGGCCCCGTGCATTACTTTTATTTATCACATATAAACACAACAACATCACACATAAATTTACACCTCTCAAGTTCACTTTTACTCAATAAAATATCGTTGAACATTTGAGTCCCTTCTTTTTGTAATAAATACCGTCAAGCTACATTCAAGCCGTTTGTTTTACATAAGTTCATATACACAGTTTGAAATACATCACTTTGACAAGTCATACATAGTCGTCCATTCATACTTTTCAATTCAACCCTCACCATCGTATTACGTTCTATTCTGCCTGTGTCTCCGGCATTTATTCTTCCCGAAATCCTCACACACTCACTGAGATAAAACTCAATGGTCGGTATTCAGAGTCGTTGCTTATTCTTAAGATTGTCTTAAGCATTTGCTTAAGCACCTGTTCCCTGTACAAAACAAGGACTGGAAATGTGGGTTAGACAGGGGTAACAAATTCTTAAGACGGTCTTAAGAATAAGCAACGACTCTGAATACCGGCCAATATCAACCATGATCGAGGTACATCAGAAGCATTCGACATCTCAGAACGTCGATTCCTGATCCAATTCAAAGTTCGCGCCTTCCAAACTCGAGCCAGACAACGTCTCTCTTTCACTTGATTGGCCAGTTGATTCCATCCGTCAGAGAATCGTGCTAGGACGAGTGTCAGACAAGTGACACTTTCCATAACCTGTAAAACCATGACCGTGCAAGGATGACAATTGTTATTTATTTATTTCAATCATTAATTCAGACCGATACCTCGTTCAACGACTTCTCGTTTTTACAGGAACAGCTTTCATCGATCCAAGTTTCCTCACTGGCCAGAGCGACCATCGACNCAATATTATAAAATTCCTCTCACCTCTTTCTCTTCTTCACTTGAAAGTATCTATCGTCTCCTACATTACAGATTACAGATTCGATCATCAATGTCGACCCTTTGAATTTTATAATCACCCGTAATTCTTCCTCTTCTATAGATACAAATAGGCCCTTCTCTACTTTTAAAAATGATGAAAATCAATCTACCTTTTTGCCCCATTTATTTAGAAAAACCTTTGTGAATTATTTATACACAATTCTTTCGGTGAAGTGAACGCCGCAGTATCAAGCCAAGGCCAAGCACGTACCTTCGGTTAGGTAAAAGAAAATAGTATTATTATTATCAATCATTGATTCACAATCCTCTAGGTAAGGTGAACGCGTTTACATAAAGCAAGGTCAGGTGCATTTCTCTGGTTAGGCAAAAGGAGTCAAGCCACGATTACTGTGTCATTCACTATCCTCTTGGTGAGGTGAACGTGTCAAGGTCAAGTAAGGTCAGGTGCATACCTTTGGTTAGGCAGAAAAGAGAGGAGCCACGATTAATGTGTCATACACTATCCTTTAGGTGAGGTGGACGTCTCAAGGTCATGTAAGGTCAGGTGCACGCCTTTGGTTAGGCAGAGAAGAAAGAAACCACGATCAAATAGTCACTCACGATCCTCTAGGTGAGGTGAACGTGTCAAGGTCAGATAAGGTCAGGTGCATGCCTTTGGTTAGGTTAGGTTAGGTTAGGTTAGATTAGGTTAGGTTAGGTTAGGTTAGGTTAGGTTATTTTATTTTATTAGCTTGTGGTGCCGCAGTGGACCCACGAGGATCCCCTGAACTGCGGAATCGGCCTTTTAACGTCGACAGCCTGATAACTGCCTCCGGTATATCCGATCTACAAAGCCGCGACTTCACCGCCTGGTAATGACTCCGACCTTTCATCGCCGTGCGGGGTTCCAAACGCGCGCGGGCTCACCCCGCGGCAGATTACTCGTCGAAGTGCCCGTGCCCGAGCGGCCATTCTACCTGATGGGATTTAGCTAGGCGGCCTTTCGGGCCTCGTGTCGAACGTCGGGCTATCAACCCGGGCACGGACTACCCCCCTCCTACAGGTGTCCGGCGATCTGCAGTCGGTTCGCTGTTGACAAGTTTCGCGGCGTACTATGACTCAAATTTTTTGACTATGCAAACGGCCTGAGATCTGAGCGGCTGCGCTCTTTTTATCTCGGAGCCGAGTCGCGTCGTTTGGACAGGTGGGAA